ACATAAGCAAGCTCTCCCAATCAGTGCGGAGGACTAACTGGGGGGTGACAACAAATTTGCACCCAAGAAAGGTGGACCAAACCATCCTTTTTAATGGGCTAGAAGGTGTTTTGAAAGGCGTTCATTGTTGCAGGACCCGATGCGGACCAAACTAAGTGGTGGGGGTATGTGAATCTTGTGTCTCCTTTAGTGGAGAATGGAAGAAGCACTCCTTCTGAAGGTTGTCCACCTATATTGCCAATTAAAGCCGTTTTCCATTCAATCGAATTTCACCAATCCCTCACCCTATGGTCCACTATGGTCCTGCCAATTGAAACCCTCCTCCAGTTCAATTCCAACCCCCCTCATGAACAGATTTCAGCTTTGGCATCCCTCCTCAAGGGATTTTATCTTTGGGCTTCTCATGAGATTTTAGTCTCGGTGACCTTTTCTGATTAAGGGATTTAACTGTAATTGGTTGGGGCCTCTCCGAGGCCTCTCCTCATGAATCCCTCCAAAAGAACATCAAATCCCCGGCCGGCCTTCGGACATCCCTCCAAATAAGAAACCATCCGTTGGGGATGATCTCATTTGGTGTCACCATTCTGGTTGACAGTTGGACGTTCACCGAAGCAGATTTCATTGATATAGACTTGTTCGCAACATGTACCCGAGCCTCCAACGACCAACAAGCCTCAAATTAGTCGATGGATAAGTCGGTTTGGACATGGGAAAATGCTAGAGATTCCGAGCTCCCACGAAAATATCTGCTATCTTGATGGCTTAAATTTCAGCATTTGCAGGAACTGCATCTAGTCCTTTCCGTGGAGAATATCGCCTCATAGTATGCCGTAATAATCCTCCAAAGGTGCCCCTCTCAGATCCATTCCCAAACAAGGTGTTTATTAGCAGTAGAAGCTCGATCTACTAGGGTGGAATATGTTTGGGACAGTGTTGAGGACACTCGTTGCAGGAGCTGCTGGCCTTTCTTCAGCAGCGCCCGTTGACTTTGGAGCTGTTACAAAAAAGCCACGGCTACTAAGCAGCAGGAAGACGCCTGATGATAGTGCAGGGACCTTGTGATGGCCACCAGTACGATGAAATTTGATAAATCAATGCTGGTGTAGACCTCACCCCTGACGTTGAGACCAAGATCGTTTCGTTTGGTGGGCAATATACGTGACTTCCTTTTCTGACAGGTGTAGCTTCCCTCCTCCTCGCAAACCCTTCCTCGTCACCCGCACCGGCGTGTGTGCCTTACTGAGGTGGGTTTCAGGGCTCCGTGCACTTCGGGAGCCGCGACATTCCGTGCACTGCGGGGGACGGAGGTATGACATGGAAACGAAGACTGGGCCGACTGGGCCGTTGTTCATGGGCATGGGCCGGATGAGGAGGAAGAAGAAAGTCTAAGCTGACATGATCTAAAATAAATCAATAACACAATTGTCTGTTTTAGCTATTGCCTTGTAGTTCTATCATTTGTTTGGGGTGGCCAAGTCTTCAATTTGAATTGCACCTACTCTCCCTGCAATATGAGCGAGCATCGGGGTTGTGAATGGAAAGCGAATCAACTCTTCAATCCTCAGTGAAAACAACAAGTTCCCGTTGTTTTTGTGTTGGGGTCATAAGCCCTCAAACCTCAGGCAATCAGCCTCCGTTGTACACCGCAGGACACCGCAGGCCTCGCTGTATCATCTGCAAAGCAGTTTCAGCAATTTGGGCCAGCCGCAAAGTCCTTCAGCCTTGCCCATGAGGACGAATGGGTGACGTCGCACCACCGATGGGTTTGGGCCATGGGGCCCCCAGGTTTCAAGTGGTCCAACTGGATATAGACCCCCGTAAATAGATAGAAACGTCAATCCCCACTAAAGAATGTACTGGTTCGATCTATTTGGGGACCACGATCTTTTTTTTGGTCTAGCTTTGCTTCGCCAAAGTGGGGAGACAAGGTCAAAGATCATATATATATATATATATTATTTAGTATAATCATACTATTGTTTTAAACAAGAACGCTCTTGCAACAGTGGATAAACACCCGTAGCCAAGCTATGCTAAGCTGCTTGGGGAACAAGCAGCAAACTCGTGACTGCCTGGTTGGCGTATTTCTTGGGCCACTCAATGTGGAACCGTGTCGCTCCCACCTTTGGGAACCAGGGGCGTTCCAACTTCCTGGGCTTTGCCGCGCAAAGGAGATCAAAAGTCACTTTGGAAGCAGTTAAAGAAGAATCTGCCAAGAAGAAGGTGTGCACTCCGCAGCTTGCGTTCGGCTGTGCGCTGTGCATGTGAAACTACCCCCAAAAAGCGATTTGTGCTATGCTATGCATAACTACCCGTGCTGCGGGTGGAGTTTCTCCGTTTCTCCAGGTTTGCTAGCTGAATGTTTCATCAGTCAGACGGTCTCTGAAACTCACTCCTTTCCGTCGCCGCCTTCGACGAACACTCGCCAGTTCGCAGCCAAAGCCATGTTTCAGAGTGAGGCAGGTCGCCGGGAGAGAACACTGACCTTGAGTTAGGACAGTTCGCCACTCCAATTTTTGCAGATTTCAATCATTTTAGAGAGAGAGAGAGAGATCCGAAAAGATTCATTCCTCGTTGTTTTGTTGTTTCAGGAGGAGGAAAAGGTGCCCAGGAACGTCAGCAAGATGACTCTGAACAACAGCTGGGAGCCAAAAGCTTCCCATGGCCTTGGCTGTGCGGGTTGAGAACACTGATGCAAGTGCAGGTAATGTGATGAAGGATTTCAAGGCATGTTGATGTTTCACCTTGGAAGGTTCTGGAGAACTGGATAGCTAGCTGAGTTCTTAACTGCTGGTAGGACACTACAGTTAATGGATTGACAATGATTGACATATACAGTAATGGAACATATAAAGATGTGACACTTATCATATGATACTAAATATATAGTACAGACATAGACACACTAAGTTTTTGTGCGTTCTTTTGGTACATGTCTCCTCTGTCTCCTCAGACTTCCCAGGCGATCATGACAGGCATGTGACATGTCTCAGACTTTTGAATAAAGGCAATCAACAGACTATGTTGGTGTGTACAAGCCTTTGCTGCCGCTGGTTTTGCTTTTGCACCGAGAGTGTGCCAGATGCACGAAGTCACACGATGTGGCTTTGTAAACAGGTTTAGTAACACGGGACATTGATACCAAATGCATACAAAAGGAAACTCCCAGAGTTGTGGATTTACCTGCGGGGATTGGATCAGGATTTGAGCATAAACGAAACGAAACCATTTTCTGGAGAACTGCTTCACATCGAAGTGGGTTGTGGTTGCCGTAGCTTATTGGGCCCTGGCCAGGGCCCTCCACAGCCTTCCTAAGAAGACTTTCTATAAGTTATAACCTCAGTTTTGTTGGTTTGATTAGCATACATGAAACTCTAGCATGCCCATGTTGCATTCGTTGAAGCTTGAAACAAACGGTCCTGCCAGGGCTGCCAACGCCATTACATGCATACATCCGTGCGATGCGTTCTGTCAAGCATAAGCGAGCATGAAGATACCCAGATTCTACAGAACATACAACAGAACAGATATTTAACACAAAACTTTAATATCAATCACACCCAAACATCGTGTATATATATGTTCCCACGTCCTCGTAGGTTAAGACAAACCAGGTGCATCGGTTCTTTGTAGGGTTTGGGCTCACAGCTGATGGGCCTTTGCCGCGATTGTGGCCTGTCCTCGGGAGACGAGGCCACTTGCATCTTTTGCCGCGTGCGCACGAGGTGGTGGACGGTCTGTGACGACCTACCCGTTCCTCTTCGCGGCTGGGCCATATCCTCGATTAGGATTTGGACTGGAATTCTGCAAGAGGAGAGCGAGAAGTTCCACGAATCCCAGCGGCAACGTGAGGAGGCCGAGCGCACTGCATCGCCGAAGAGCGCAAGCCTAGCGGCACCCGCCAATACTCCTAAGAAGGGGAGTGAGCCTCAGGGAGAAGTCGATCGCCCCGACAAGAGTTGGATAGAGGCCAAGAAGGAAAAGGACGTCAACAAGAGCCCGAAGGGTAGCCCAGGTGTGGTTGACCTTAGCCCTTTAGAGGAGGAGGAGAAAGCCTCAAGTGGATCCAAAGTGGTAAGAGAGAATCGAAAGACTTCGAGGAAGAGGAGTCGAAGCCGCAGGAGGAGAGACAGAACCCGAAGCAGGTCGAATAAAAGGAGGCGAAGGAGCTCTTCACGGAGGGCCAGGACGCCAAAAGAGGACAGAGGACGAGACAAGGAAAAGAAAGCAAAGCCATCTGTCAGACCACCCAGAACGCCATCAAGGTCACCGCCAAGAAACAGGGGAGGACCTCCTCCTAAAGAACCTCCAGTACCAAGGAGTTCAGGGCCTCCGGCTCCGGTGGCTCGGCCATCTGGTCGCTACTGGACAGGCTCTTTCAAAGCTTGGCGAGAGCCCCAATACTGGGGAACGAACAAGGGAAGGAAGAAGAAGGAAAATCAATACTACGGGAGAAGGTAGTAGCAGAGAGGTCTACATCCTCGATGGCATTGAGGAGACCGGCAGCACTTGTTCGCAGACCGGGCAGGGCCAGAGGAGAACCTCCTGAGGCAAGGGGAGGCGAAGTGAGACGACGACCAGCAGCAGCCGTTGATCCTGAAGGTGCAGCTGGACGTGCCGCCCCGCCTGGGGCTGAAGGTCGAAAAGAAGAGGTTGGGAGAGAGTTCGAGAGCGGCGTATTGGTGCCATGTCATCAGGTGCCAATCGAGGTTTTGAGGAAGCGTCTTGCCATAGAGGCCAGTGGAATTTATTGGGGGCAGAGCGGAGGAGTGTCAGGATTGGTGCACGGCATCCATGTGCGGAGTCGAGAGGACGTGGAGTTGGAGGTGGTGCTGCAGGGCACCAACCTGGAGTCCATCCTCGAGTGGGCTTCCGGGTCCGAGGACAGGCTCATGAGGATCCACCTCTGCGGGGCGAAGTGCCCCGCTCCCCTCGAGGCCGAAAACTACCTCCATGGAGAGTTCATTCGGGCCCGGACCGGAGAAGACCTTCCGTGGATGATGAATCTGGTGGCCGAAGTGAGGGAAGAGAAGCAAGAGCTCCCTGCTCAACCTCCTGCAGAGAAGGGGAGGAAAGAGGAGAAGAAGAAGAAAAAGGAGAAAGATCGAGGGAGGAGCAAAGAGAAAGACCGGAGTCGGAAGAGGAAGAGGAGAAAGAGCAGCGGCACCAGGTCAAGAAGCAGCGCAGGAAGAAAGAGGATCTCCTTGAGAGGGGAGGCCAAGAAGGAGTTGCAGGCAGTGTTTGGGGAAACAGGGATCGACCCAGACCCGAGGTTCCGGCGAAGGTTCACTGCCAAGGCCGCCAAGAGAGTCAAGAAGAGATGGAAGGACACCTCATCAAGCAGCAGTTCCGGAACGAAGAGCGAGGCCAGCAGCGAAAAGAGCGTGGAGCTTTTTGCAGAGGAGCAGAAGATCCGCCGCATGGGACGGGCAGCGCCAGGAGCTTTGACATGTGCAGCCTTCCGCGACATCCAACATTCATTGCTCACGGGCACAGGAGGAGTATGGAACCCCGAAGAAGGGGTGATACCACCAATAGCCTGCCAGTACTACCGGCAATGCATGCAACAGAGGCTGCAAGGAGGACAGGCACGAGAGGCATTGACGATAGCCTGGACCTTGGATCTCCTGCTCCAAGGAAGAGTGTCGGAGGCATGCGACACGCTAACCCAAAGGCTCAAGAGCCTAGAGATGAGTGGGGCTGGCGCCGCATGGACCATCTCTCAGAAAGTGGAGCTAGTGCCACCAGAGAAACCAGTGCTCAGCTCCCGCCCGGAGATGAGAGAGGCGATCAGAGAGAATCGCGAGGAGCAGAAGACACGAAGCGAGGCCGCCCGGCCAAAAGGGAAAGGCGATTCCACCACTTCCTCGTGGCGAGAGGACGACCGAGGGAAAGGTCGAGAGGCGAAAGGAAAGGGCAAGAAGGGCAAAGAGAAGGGCGATGGCAAGAGAGCGGAGAAGTAGAGGTCAAAGGCTCCGCCATTATGAAATCAGGCTATGAGGATGCAGCCAGCTTGGTTAGCAGGCAGCCACTTTTTCCGGAGATCAGCACTTCGGAACACCTTGACGGTGATGAGGTGCTGGATACAGATGCCGAAGGACGACTTCATAGTCCCAATGTCCCGGCATACCTTGCCGCCGACCCGGCATTTGATCACGGGTCCGAGCGTGAAAAAATTTGCATGAAGCCGCCGAGCACGGGTGACTATTTTTCGAAGCTTGCTCCATGGATGACCTTCACATTGCATGAGTCAGTGTCTCTCCTGGGACTTCCTTTGCAGTGTTTGACCCAGCCCTCGGGTGACATCTTTCCGTTGCCCACCGATGTGAAGGTCCTCCACGAGCTCTGGGAAGACAAACCCGAGATTGATCTTTTGGTTAAGGGCCTTTGTGTAGGGTTGAATTCCATGTACGGGCTGGAGCTTGAGAATCCTTTCCCCCCGACTTTTGCACAGAGAAGAGTTTTGGAGTTTCTTCGTTCACAGTCGCAAGTTGTTTCTTCGTGGGATGAGCGCTTTGAGGAAACCAGCTGGCATGATTTCTTCAGGTTGAAGACGGTTGACTACACGGGAGAAGAGGTCCTGTGTGCTCAATACACCACCTGGGGTAATTTGTCTCCGGCTATGCCCAAAGAGATCGCATCGGTCCCCCTATCGGAGGTTTGTGAGTTGGGATGTCGTCATTATGTCGAGCATTTCCAATCGTATGTCCTGCCTGAGGAGTTGCAGCAGCCGATGAAGCCCCCGCGTGTCCTGATCGCTTCCGAGGCGTGGACTGAGGTATGTCAGGGGTTGTTGGGGAACGGAGTGTGTATCCCGATGCTAGAGCAGGACCTTTTCCATGTTGCTGGGCAACCATTGCTTAACGGACTGTTTGGAGTCCCCAAGGGGGAAGAAGAGGGAGGAGTGCCCATCCACCGCCTGATCATGGATCTTCGACCATGCAACAAGGTGGTGAGAGGGATTGAAGGAGACGTTGCCACTCTACCCACTTGGGCGACGATGGCCCCCTTGCAATTGATGCCTTGTGAGGATCTGGTGATTTCATCTGAGGATGTGAGGTGTTTCTTTTATATTTTTAAGGTGCCTCGGGAATGGTCTGCTTTCTTGGCCTTTAATCGACCTATTCCCCCAGAACTTTGCCCCGATGATCGAGGGACCTACTATTTGGCCTCACAAGTCCTTCCTATGGGATTCAAAAACAGTGTCAGCCTGGCACAACATGTGCACCGGGTGATGGTGCGCAGAGCAGGGAGCAGTTCTGGTCAAGGACTCCAGTCCCATCAAGAGATACGGAAGGACCGTCCATTCTCAGCACACCCTGAACTGCATCGCATCTACCTGGACAATTTCGACTTGCTGGAAAAGGTGGACAAGCGCACCACAACACTCCTACGAGGGGAGTTAAGTGAGACTGTGCTGGCACTACGCCAAGAGTATGAGAAGTGGGGGGGTGCCTCGTCACCCCAAGAAGTCCACGGTCCGAGCAAGCCAAGCCGAAGTTCAAGGAGCCATAGTGGATGGGGTTGCAGGGCGAGCCTATCCAAAGCCGGCCAAGATCCTCAAGTACGCACAGTTGGCCAGTCTCCTGGTGGGGGAGAAAAGATGTTCCGTCAAGCAAGTGCAAGTGGTGGCAGGAGGTCTGGTGTACATGAGCATGTTCCGCCGACCATTGCTAGGCTCACTCAACGCGCTGTGGAAGTTCATTGAATCCTTCAAAGGTTATCCTCCAGTGATCCAACTCGAGATCCCCATTGAGGTCGAGCTGGAAGTCTCGCGCTTCGTATGCCTCATACCCTTGGCCCAGATGGACTTTAGGTTGAACATCAGTCCGGAGGTTACTGCGAGTGATGCTTCCACCACGGGAGGGGGCCTCACAGTGAGCACCGGGCTGACAGGTTTCGGACAGGCCGCATCAGTAGCCACCATCCGAGGTGATCTACCAGAACCGTCAGATGTCTGTGCGGTCCTCACGGTGGGGCTCTTTGATGGTATTGGGGCGTTGCGTGTGGCTGCCGACGCTTGTAGATTGCCGGTGTTGGGACACATAAGCGTTGAGGTCAAGAAGGAAGCTAGTCGAACTCTTGAAAGCAAGTTCCCATCGACCGTGTTCATTGAAGCAGGAGTGGAGGCAGTAGACGATGAAATGGTCAGAAGCTGGGCGTGTCGCTTCTCTCAGGCAGCTGTGGTGATCCTTGGTGCGGGACCTCCGTGTCAAGGAGTCAGTGGACTCAACAGTGAAAGGAGAGGAGCGTTGCGAGATCACCGGAGCTGTTTGTTCAGCCACGTCCGACGCATCAGAGAGCTCCTGAAGAAACACTTCATCTGGGCCCAGGTTAGGTACTTGACAGAGAATGTCGCCTCCATGGATGAAGCCGATCGAGCAATCATGACAGAAGACTTTGGCGATCCGCCTTCCATGATTGACGCAGCAGGTGTGTCCTTGGCACGCCGACCAAGACTGTACTGGTGTGATTGGGACCTCCTACCAGGGGAGGGGGTTCGATTTTGTCCTTGGAAAGGCCGAGGAGCCGCTGCTTTCCGTGAAGTCGAGCTTAGCGCGGACATCGACCCCACGGAGTACCTCCAGCCAGGCAGCACAAAAGCAATGAGCCGTTTCCGACGTTCACGACGTCGAGGCCCCGAAGCCATCCAGGCCGGAGGCCTGCAGGCCTAGAGCGACTTACTCCAGAGGAGCGCCTAGACTGGGAGGCTGATGCTTTTCGTTTCCCGCCGTACCAGTATCAGAGAAAGCTGTCAGTCGTTGATTCAAATGGACAACATCGTCTTCCCAACATCCGAGAGCGTGAGACCATCATGGGATTTCCAAAAGATTTCACGGTCCAATGCATGAGCAAACAGTTCCATGGACAGCCCCAGCATGACGATGAGCGGAAGAGCCTCATAGGCAACTCGTGGAATGTCACGGTGGTGACGTGGCTCTTGGCCCAGCTGGGTTACCAACTGGGACTGTGTCCTCTTCTTACACCTCAACAAGCAGTCCAAGCTACCGCTCCAGGTCGATCAGTCACCCTTGGTGGCCTGCTACAACGTCAAAGCATGAGGAAGCTGCCCAAGGGGCCTGTGAAGGGGGAGTATGACCTAGTGTCCAAACTCCTAAACTTGGTTAGCCTCAAGGGGGAAGACATCATGGTCCAAGCATCTACGGAGGAGACCCTGCGCTATCATCGTCTTCGAGCTAGCCTCCCAGCATCATTGTGGACCTGGAGGACGGTCATGGGCTGGCCATGGAAAGGTAGCCCGGAACACATCAACGTTCTAGAGTTGCGAGCGGTACTTACTTCCTTGAGATGGCGGATCATCAAGAAACATGCCATTCGATCGAAATTTGTGCACATGATCGATAGTCTGGTGTGCTTGCACTCGCTTTCTCGCGGCCGAAGCAGCAGCCGCAAACTTCGTCGTACTATGAGTCGCGTGAACGCTTTGCTCCTGGCCAGTGGATCCCACGCCGTATGGGCGTATGTCCATACGGGGGACAACCCCGCGGACCGGCCTTCCAGGAGGCCGGTAAAGAAGAAATGGTAGGTCGCAAAACTGCCCATCTTGAGGGCAGGGACAAAGCTGCGCGACAGCAACAACGACGAATGCTAGGCCCTTTGAGGAATCTTACAGTACAACCCGCTACCCGGGAACGTTATGACCGTGCACTTGAGAAATTCCGCCAGTTTTTGAAAGAAGAAAGTCGACAGTTCTCGCGAGATCCAGGTACCCTTGATCTTTGGTTGAGCCAGTACATTGAGGTTCTCTGGGAAGGAGGCGAAGGGCGAGCCTTAGCAGCTGACACGATTGCCGCTGTACAGGACTACCTCCCGGCAGTCAAGGGGAAGTTGGCGACATCATGGAGATTGATGAAGACTTGGGCCACCAATGAAATACCCAATAGGGCTCCGCCCCTACCTCTCGAGGCCTTAGAAATGATGATTGGCCAAAGCTTGTTTCAGAAAGATGATCTGTTCGCCCTTTCGCTCATGCTCGCCTTTCATGGACTCCTAAGAACAGGGGAGTTACTGGGTGTTCAAAAAGCCCATTGCCAACAATCCGGCCCGCGTAGCGTGGCAGTCCTCTCGTTGGGCTTGACCAAAGGAGGCAAAAGGCAAGGGGCGGCAGAAAGCATCACCATCCGTGAGGAAGACACCCTTCGGAGGCTCTGGCAGTGGAAAAACACTCCGTACTCCAGGAGCTCGTTGTGTGACACTCCGCACACTTGGCGTCAGAAGTTTGCTGCTTGCTTGGAAGCCTGTGGCCTTAGCGACCACCAGTTTCGTCCCTACAGTCTCAGAAGAGGGGGCGCCACTTGTTACTTTTCCCGATACGGTTCGCTAGACCGACTACTCCTCCTAGGGAGGTGGCAGGCTGCAAAGACGGCCAGAGTGTACATAAACGAAGGACTTGCTACTTTAGCTGAATTGCGACTCCAGACCAATGCTCAGGCACAGGCGTATAAGCGCCAGTATGTCAGGTCTAAGAATTTAGAGCTCCAACCCCTTGAGCGTGCCCGGAAGGGCAGGCCAGGGGACAGTGGAAAGGGAAAGAAATCTCGACGAAAGAAGGGCAAGAAATAGCCCTA